TGCTAGCTGTGAAATATGTAGAATCAAAAAGTAGACATTTCATCTCCTGTCAGCTTTTTGGATGAAGGAGACTTCTCAGAAACGGCACCATTCAGTCTTCCTAATAAAGTTAGTTTTTCCTCCTTTATGGATCTTATTGGGGTTTAAATGGATTTAACTAAATCCAGTATTTAGGAAACAGTTTGATCTACTTACCAAAGCGATCATATATACAGAAAGGGAAGATTTAATGTCATAAGTGTGACTCAAAGTCACAATTATGAGATTTAAAGGAAAGGTCAGCAAGGAATGAATTTATAGCTAAAAAAAAGGCATTTGCAGTGATTTAAAGAATTTAGCATTAATCAGAACAAAAATAATTTTCGTCATGATTAAGCAAAATCAATGGGAACTACTAGACACATCTGCAATCAACAACAATTATTGAAGATTTCCAGAGGACTTCACCATTGAAATTCACCAGAGCTATAGTGAAACTGACAATGCCCACGTGCATGGCAGCTGGATGTTGGAATACATCGGGTAAAAGTGGGAAAAGCCAACATTTGGAAGAAGAATGTTTTCAAGATGACTTGGATAATAGCGCGTTGTGACAAACACCAGATACAGCACTGGGACTTGATCAACAGCCGATACCGCACCGTGACGTCACTAACCAGTAGGTGGCAGTAGTGTTCTTTGACAAACATGGATGCCTCCAGTAAAGCACATTCACATGAAAATTACTCTGAATCAAAAACACTGATCATTTATTGAACAGGATGAAATAATTTCAGATTTAAAGAACTTTCAGAAGTTTGAATTCTAAATATGAGCGGACTTTTCTTTTAAATCTAAAGAATCAACTATGACTTTAAATGTGAAAATTGACCATGAAAGTCAAAATTATGTTAATTTTATATCTACTAACAACGGCACACTATATTCAATTTTTTTAGTTGCAAGTCACAGAAAAGGGCTTCAAAAGATATGAAAGTCTTGTTTTTCTTTATAAAAGTCTTTAAATTGGGTTTTAAATTCTGCAACAGGTGGTGATTATTTTCTGAATCTGTTCTTTTTCTGCTTTTTGACCCACTTTCTTTGTTTTATGGGTTTTTTGCGACAAGCTTGTAAACATCTTGCCACAGTCTCAGCATTTGGTGGTAACCGAAGCAGCCAATCAGGTAGCAGATCACAGGCATGTTTTGGCACCTTCCTCAGAATTTAGAAGCTGTACATTTCCGGTGAGGCGGATTTACATTTCAAAATAAAATGTAAAAAGATTCCAAAATTCGAAATAAAAGAGATCAGTTAAGGGTGTATGGTGGCTCAGTTTGTTGCACTGCTACCTTACAGCAAAAAAGGTTTTTGGTTCAATTCCCAGCCTTGGGTCTTTCTTCATGGAGTTTGTATGTTCTCCCTGTGCTTCCATGGGTTCTCTCCTGGTACTCCAGCTTCCTCACACAGTCCAAAAACATGACTGTTAGTTTAATTGGCATGAATCTTAAGATTTCTACTTGCTATTAGATGTACTTGCAGAAGGTAAGATTACACCTATGACTGAGGTGTTGAAAACATTTCTGATGAATATGTCCAAATATTTGATTTAAAACAATTTGTTCCGTTTTTTTTTTTCCTAAGCTGTCTGTTTTATGTTTTTGTGAAAACCTTTTAATATTACTAATAGGAATTAAACATAATAATATATTTCTATCATGTATAGATACCAGTAGCTCAGAGGTGTCGAAAGTTTTCATGTTTATTAGTCCAGTAGAAGTATAAGTCCTGCTTTTTAAAAACACTTTTGTAGAAGTTAGAGGATCAGTATTAAGCTTTTAACTAAAGTAAAAGTTTAAAAGTAACATTTTTAAAACTAAAGTATACAAATAAAAGTAATGCATGGGGAAATGTTAAGGACAGAAGCTTTACTGCACTACCCTATTAAAGGAACATTTTTCTACCATTCCGGATGATAACTTCCTTAGAATTAAGTTTAAGTTACGGTAAGTTAGTTTCAAATTAAACTTTGCATCATCTTGAAAAACAATTTATATTGCTCTGTGGGGAACAACAAGTTGGGGCAGCACTGATTCCAGCCACAAAGAAATTGAATGTCTGGATTAAACAAATTATTCGGATGTTTTTTTATTTTTTATTAAATACCAACAGACCATAATGAAAATAAGCTTAAATGAAACAAAACTAACGAGTCTATTTTTTAAACTTTAGGAGTAGAATGTAAAGATAACTGCAAAAAAAAATAATGTAAGAAGTAGAAGTAAAAAGTAAAGATTGCTACGTAAGTAAAGTAACAAAGTATTTGAAAAGTATGAGCAAAACATCTATATTTTCTACATAAAGACCAATTTTATTTTCTACAGCCTTTGCTAACAAATAGAAGCAGATATTTAAACATAGATGCTGTCTAAATGAAAGGTCTAGTGGACAAAATTCAGGTTTGGGTTTTGGGGCGAAACATCTTTTCCATTGTTATTAATTACCTACTTTTATCAAGAAAATGTCTACATAAAATTAATATGTATTCTACATGAAATGGATTGAATGGTTATTATTATTAAAGTAGTTTTTTTTATCTATGATTTCACTGATGACTCCTAGATGACTTGCAGAGACACTATTTTATCTTTACCCCATTAACACAAAATTTAGCTCTGAAGAGCATGAATTCTGTATATATATCATCTTGAATGTTAATTTTTTTATGTGCATAATCAACTAGAGCGTTTTAGTTATCAAATAATTGTTAATATATATAAAAAGTGTAAATGTTTAATAAATTTGAACATTCTACTTGACAGTTTTAGTATTACTGCCACCGTCTGTATTAGACAGTGGTGTCAAAAGTTCACACATTTGTTACTTAAGTAGAAGTATAGATACTGCAGTTTAAAAAAAGTTGAAGTATCAACTTGACCTCTTTACTCAAGTAAATGTGAAAAATTATGTGCTCCAAAAACTACTTAAAGTATAAAAGTATAAAGTAACCTTTAAAAAAACAGCCAGATGCCGCTATATGAACTGAAAGCTAAATTTTTCGACTATTTCTAAAAATTCTCTGAGATAGGGCCAAGGATGAGGGAGGTCTTGTTGGTCTCCATCTCCCGATACGCTCTCGCCTGTGTCCGACCTTTCAGACATTTCAACATCTTTTTCTGAATCCAACATTGTAGCATGGCATAGACAATTCACGTTAGCAGTTTGAAGAACACCTGCTTGCTTCTGATGATTCCCTTTAGCTAACCAATGAGTGTTTGCGTTCTATGACTCATCCAATCACACTAGTTTTCACTAGATGTGGGTGGAGCCAATGATCTGCATTGGATGGAGGACATGACGGGAAATAAAGATTTAGAAACATTAAACTGAAGCCAAGAGTAACGAGTAACATTTGTTTTAAAAATGTAAGGAATAGAAAGCGCAGATCCTTGTGTGTAAATGTGATGAGTAGAAGTAAGAAGTAGGAAGAAAAATAAGTAATGGAGTAAAATATAGATACCTAATTTGTATCTCTGCTTCTGTCTCCTTGAACCCCAGTGGGCCTCAGCAGATGGCCGCTCACACTGAGCCTGGCTCTGCTGGAGGTTTCTTCCTGTTCAAAGGGAGTTTTTCCTCTCCACTGTCGCTACAAGCATGCTTAGTGTGAGGGCAGGGGTGTTGCTAGGCACAAAGCTTTACTGGGGCACTGGCCCCCCTACCGCATATGCCCCTCCTTCCATACACAAATACAGACAAGCACACTGCCCAACTCTGATACATTTCTACCAAAATTACCAGTTGAAATATGAATGAGTGTAAGAGCATATTTGTTTTAACAAACATGAACAATTTCAACATTGCAGCTATAAAAAATAAGAGATTACCAACTTTAAAAATAAAAAGTTTCCTTATACACGTTCTGAAGTAATCATTAATTCCTAGGTTTCAGAGTTTTAGTTCAGGGGAAAGTTTAACTCAACCTGAACTAAGTTTTTCTTTTCTTTTTTGAGCATTAAAGTGTACCTCCTATTTTTCATTTTTGCAAAGCGGTCAATCACTAGACTGTGACTCAGCTTAGAAAGTTCATCCTTTTCAACTGATAAAATAGCAAGATGATGGAGCCTGTCTTGTCCCATTGTGCACCTCGGCCAAGTGTGGAGCTTTCTCAACACACTGAATGACCTTTCACAACTACAACTCTCATCTTGTTTTACTGCTTCCCTGTCTCTGCTTCGTGTGAGGAATTTCCTGATATCCATCTACAAACCAATGCAGTAATTTTCAGTTAGTAACCTATAAATCATGTGGTTTCATTGGGAAAATAATAAAATTGACAGGTAAGAAACGTTACCAGAACTAAAAATGCGTCGCGGCCGCACAGTGTCCCATCCAATTCAGTTGAGAGCAGCGCGTTAGTTTACCTGCAGTTCATGCAGTGACATGCGCTGACGTGGGGGCGCTAATCCATCCTCAATTTAGAGTTAACAACACACTTGCTGCGCATTTGAGTAGAAATATACGTCTCCTCCCGTTGGAATTATCTAAATTGATGCATTAAAAAAAAATGTATCACTGTTGCAAATATTCATGAGATTTATACTGGGGCACAGCTCATTTATACTGGGGCACGTGCCCCAGTAAATGGGGTCTGGCGACGCCGATGTGTGAGGGATTGCTGAAGAGTCAACGAGTCGATGCAATCAACTGGTTTTCCTTTTAATAGAAAACTTCAAATCAATCTGACTGGATGATCTGGTGAACTGTAAAGTGTCTTGAGATGACGTGTTGTAAATTGCTGCTATAGAAATAAACTGAATTGAATTTTTACTTTGTTACTTGAAACTTCTGGTATTAGAGGGGGAAAATATAAAGGGTGGCCATGGCCACCTCTGGCCCCCCATCTACCTCCGCCCCTGAGTGGGGACCATTTTCCATAAATCTTAGCTCATGGACGTAGTCCTTGCGTAGAAAGGGAAGACTGTGTGTTTTATTTTGGAGGGTACAAACCGGAAGCTGCTGCGGTAACTTTGAAGCTTAACTTATTTCGCTTCACGCTGCAAAGCGAAACTTGCTGATCGAGATTCGCTCATAAAACAGCTCAGTTTGCTCGGAAAGCTTCGTCTTTTCTGCAGATTGTCACTGAGTTCAGAGCCCTCAGAGTCCACGATGTCTGGCCACGGTCACGGCCACGGCCACAGCTGCGGGGCGGAGGGGGAGCATGAGCCCGCAGAGAGGGGCCTGGAGTTCGGACTGTATCAGCGCATCGACCTGGAGAAGCTGCAGTGTCTGAACGAGAGCAGAGACGGAGATGGAAGGCTGGTGTTCAAGCCGTGGGACCAGCGGAACCTGCGAGACAAGGTGCAGGGAAATATGGGGGAAATAAATAAGAAGCCATATTTATCTGAACAAAGGGCTTTAAAGGTTTCTATAGACCTAAAACCACCAGAGATGCACCGATCCCCTGTTGGTTGGAATCTGCCAATTATTCTACAGGTGCTGGTCATAAAATTAGAATATCATGAAAAAGTAGATTGATTTCAGTAATTCCATTTAAAAGGTGAAACTTGTATATTATATTCATACATTACATACAAACTCATATATTTCAGATGTTTATTTTGTTTAATTTTGATGATTACAAATGACAACAAATGAAAATCTCAAATTCATCATATCAGAAAATTAGAATATTGTGAAAAGGTTCAAAATTGATGGCCCCTGGTGCCACACTCTAATCAGCTAATTAACTCAAACCACCTGCAAAAGCCTTTAAATGGTCTTTCAGTCTAGTTCTATAGGCTACACAATCATGGGGAAGACTGCTGACTTGACAGTTGTCCAAAAGACGACCATCGACACCTTGCACAAGGAGGGCAAGACACAAAAGGTCATCGCTAAAGAGGCTGGCTGTTCACAGAGCTCAGTGTCCAAGCACATTAATAGAGAGGCGAAGGGAAGGAAAAGATGTGGTCGAAAAAAGTGTACAAGCAAGAGAGATAACCGCACCCTGGAGAGGATTGTGAAACAAAACCCCTTCAAAAATGTGGGGGAGATTCACAAAGAGTGGACTGCAGCTGGAGTGAGTGCTTCAAGAACCACCACACACAGACGTATGAAAGACATGGGTTTCTGCTGTCGCATTCCTTGTGTCAAGCCACTCTTGAACCACAGACAGCGTCAGAAGCGTCTTGCCTGGGCTAAAGAGAAACAGGACTGGACTGCTGGTGAGTGGTCCAAAGTCATGTTCTCTGATGAAAGTAAATTTAGCATTTCCTTTGGAAATCAAGGTCCCAGAGTCTGGAGGAAAAGAAGAGAGGCACTTCATCCACGTTGCTTGAAGTCCAGTGTAAAGTTTCCACAGTCAGTGATGGTTTGGGGTGCCATGTCATCTGCTGGTGTTGGTCCATTGTGTTTTCTGAGGTCCAGGGTCAACGCAGCCACATACCAGGAAGTTTTAGAGCACTTCATGCTTCCTGCAGCTGACCAACTTTTTGGAGATGCAGATTTCATTTTCCAACAGGACTTGGCACCTGCACACAGTGCCAAAGCTACCAGTACCTGGTTGAAGGACCATGGTATCCCTGTTCTTAATTGGCCAGCAAACTCTCCTGACCTTAACCCCATAGAAAATCTATGGGGTATTGTGAAGAAGAAGATGCAATACACCAGACCCAACAATTCAGAAGAGCTAAAAGCCACTATTAGAGCAACCTGGGCTATCATAACACCTGAGCAGTGCCACAGACTGATCGACTCCATGCCACGCCGCATTGCTGCAGTAATACAGGCCAAAGGAGGCCCAACTAAATACTGAGTGCTGTACATGCTCATACTTTTCATGTTCATACTTTTCAGTTGGCCAACATTTCTATAAATCCTTTGTTTTTATTGGTCTTCAGTAATATTCTAATTTTCTGATATGATGAATTTGAGATTTTCATTTGTTGTCATTTGTAATCATCAAAATTAAACAAAATAAACATCTGAAATATATGAGTTTGTATGTAATGTATGAATATAATATACAAGTTTCACTTTTTAAATGGAATTACTGAAATCAATCTACTTTTTCATGATATTCTAATTTTATGACCAGCACCTGTATGCGACCAGGATTAGACTGGGGATGATTTTCAGCCCACTTATGGGGGGGTCCATAAGTGGGCCCACTCATGGACCCCCCCAGAAATGTGCCAAAATGCTGCATATTAAAAGTGAGTGATATGAAAACTGCCTTGCAGCAAGAAGTTAAACTCCTGGCCTTGGGTCTTTCTGCTTGGAGTCTGCATGTTCTCCCTGTGCATGCATAGGTTCTCTCCGGGTATTCCAACTTCCTCCCACAGTCCAAAAACTAAATTCTCCTTAGATGTGAGTGTTTGTGTGAATGATTGTTTGTCCTGTTTGTCTCTGTGTTGCCCTGTGATGGACTGGAGACCTGTCCAGGGTCTCTCACCTGTAGACAGCACCACTCGCGACCCCACTTGGGACTAAGCGTGTCAGAAAATGGATGATATGTAAATATAACCGAACATTCGCAGCATCCGTATTCCCCTGGACCCGGCGCCACTCACCACATCAGCAGGGTTGCCAGATGACACTGACTCACATTCTCCAGCCCAAAAAAATGTTGATAAACTGCCTGGATATACGAAATCTCTCCCAATTTGAACTAAAGTCTATTGATCTCTTAGGCCATTAATCTAAAGAGAAACATTTTTTTTACCGATAGACGGCCATCCTAAACTGCCAGATTGGGAAACACTCCAACCTGGCAACAATGCATGTAAGATGGGAAACTTTAGCCTTTAGATGCAAAACCCCATCATGCACTGCAACATGTTTTTGCTAAATATTCTAACATAAATTTGCCAAATATAAGAGGAACATTGTAGTTTGGTTTAAATAAAACATTTTAGTTTTATTATAATTTAGTTTGTTGCAAGGATTTTAAAGTTTGAAGAAATAAAAAAATGACACCATATGCCAACCGTCACAAGGAAGTGCATGACAGGGAAGGGCTATATATACTGCATGCATCATTTAGGTAACATTGGATTATTTCTTTAGCTCCTTGAGTTATTTACTGTCACAGGTAGGAGCTCCGGCCAGAGAGGAAGTGTTGGGGTCGGTGTGATTTAAGGAGGGCCGACCCTCGCACGCTGACATTAGGACGGGCCCACCGGGCACAGATTACCAGTCCGAGCAGAGAAATAATGAAAACTCCCTCCCTCCTAAAACTCCCTCCCTGCTAAAAAAAAACCTGACCAAATTCAGCTGTAAATATGTTTGATAAATATGATGATAATTGTTCTTTGATGTCCTCTGGCCTCAGTGCAGGAGGTGGGAAACAAACGGATCCTAACTAAATGATCATCTCTGTTGGATAATGTCCCCCCCCCCCATGCATGAAGCTGGTGCTGAACTGGACAACTCCTTCAGTGACAGACTGCTGCACCCTAAATGCACCAGGGAGCGTTATCACAGATCCTTCCTCCCAGCAGCTGGAAGACTCTAGAACTCCCACTGTTCCCATTAACCTCAACAATTTGTTCCATTCATGCTGATTTTTTACACAGTTTAGTCAGTTAAATAAAATGATGATGTCATTTTGCTCATCTCTGATGTTGCAGCTATTTTCAAATATCCGTTACTGTAAAAATGTCCATAGCTGCATATTTGTTATTTATTCTCCGGTTGCACAGTTTATATATTGTTAAAACACTTTACAGTACAGGATTTAATTTATTTATCTTTTATCTTCACTATTATGTTATTGTTATACATTTTTCTAAGGTCCACATTTGTGTGATAATTTTTTTCTATAATCTTTTTGCTGCTGTAAACACCAGAATTCCCCCATTGTGGGACAATGAAGTGATTATATATTCTATTCTATTCTATAAATGTCTTGAAAAGAATAAAGTTTCTTTTAGACTCCTTGGATCTCTTGAAATTGTAAAAAATTGCCATCTGAGCATCTTTTATTTATCGTTCTTTAGTACGTGGAGAGTGATGTGGATGAAGAGCTGCTGTTCAACATACCGTAAGTCCTACCATCATCATCATCATCATCATCATCATCATCTGATGGCTGAGTTTTTTCCTGTTTTCTGAGTCTATCAGCTAAATGTAGAGTTGACATTCAGACACTAAAGCAGGTGTCTCCAGCTGCTTTTATTCCAGTTTTTGCTCTAAATGTTTATTTAAATCTAAAGCAGCTTGAAGAATTCAGACCTTTAGTGAAAGACTTTTACACCCTGTTTGGAAAAAAGGAGCGCTACCGCAGGTCATTCATCCCTGCTGCAACCAGAATACAATGCAACATTACAACTCCAGTAACTTGTCTGATGTATAATGTGCAATTACTATTTGAATAACCTGTTTCTCTGTATTTGACACCCAGTGCAATGACTATATATATAAATATCCATCTATATAACGACCCATGTAAACACGCTGTATAATGATCCTGCTATTAAGAGAAAAAAAAGGGGTGCATGGTACATATACCATGCACCCCTTTCTCCCTTTGGTACTTTCTGCTTCTCCTTTGACTATTTGAGCTGATGTTACGAGTACATAAAATCAATCAATCAATCAAAATCAGGCTGAAGCCCTGCTGGCTTTAATTTCATTTTGCTGCTGAGGGCTTCTCTCTTCTCGTCTTTCAGCGTCCTTAGCGTAACGTTCTCTCATCTCTTTCAGTTTCACCGGCAGCGTGAAGCTCAAAGGCATCATCATCTCCGGAGAAAACGACGACTCTCATCCAGCAGAGATAAGGCTGTGAGTTTTGCTTCTGTTGTTTTCCTTTTCCCAGCCTCTAGGTGGCAGCAATTCAGCTCTCTGATTGTTTCTCTGCAGGTACAAAAACATCCCTCAGATGTCGTTTGATGACACCGGCAGGGAACCAGATCAAGCCTTCAGACTCAACAGAGACCCACTGGCTGAGCTGGAGTATCCGACCAAGTGAGAACAGATGTGGTTTCTGTAGGACGGTAACAGGCAGGATGCTGTAAAAAGCAAACATTATTAAACACTTCGGTGCTTTCAATGTCCATCTCCTTCATGCAGGATCCGGCAACAGTGAATGAGCCTGGAAGAAAATAAAGTCAGCACATTTATTTTCCTCTATATAACAAACATATCTATGGAAGAGGATTAGAGCCACTGGAGGAAAAAAAGTTAACTTTTTGGTCGGTTAAGTTGGTCGACTACAGTCTAACCCCCCTATGACCCCTTTAAAATCTTAAAACCAAGAATTTGTGAGCTTCTTTTAAATGCAATCTTTTTTATCATACTGAAATAACCTAAATCAATCTGAAAACGACTTATTGAGCAGTTTAATTTAGGAAAGCCTGATTTTTAGGTTGTGGTAAATTGAAAATTCTGACTTTTTCCTCAGAATTCTGACTTTAATCTCAGAATTCTGACTTTAATCTCAGAATTCTGACTTTTTTTCTCAGAATTCTAACTTTAATCTCAGAATTCTGACTTTAATCTCAGAATTCTGAACTTTTTCTCAGAATCCTGACTTTTTTTATTGTCAGAATTCAGTCAGAATTCTGAGATTAAAGTCAGAATTTTCCATTTACCACAACCTAAAAATCAGGCTTTCCTAAATTAAACTGCTCAATAAGTCGTTTTCATAATTCATTTAGGTTATTTTTGAATGATAAAAAAGATTGCATTTAAAAGAAGCTCATGAACTCTTCGTTTTGAGATTTTAGGGGTCATAGGGGGGTTAGACTGTAGTCGACCAAAATCCTGGAAAAAATTGAAATTCCCCCTGGACTTTTTTTAAGGATGAAAAGTAGGACATGTCAGGGGAAAAGAGGCCGTCTGGTCACCCTATCATATCAACAATTTGATGTTTCAGTGAGTGAGTGCTTGTTGCTATGATGCGTCTTTGCTCAGCAGCTTTGCTCGTTGTAAACCAACCAATCAGAGCACAGCTCATCTAAATATTCATGATCAAACCATAAAAGGAAGAAAACCTGTGGTTTTATTCTAGGGCTTTTAACCAGGCTGCATTAGGGCTCATAGAACAGCTAATATGCCATTTTCAGCCCAACCAATGTTACACACCCTATTAGAGACCTGAAGGACCAGATACCCTATAGAATCATTCTATGAATCCTTTAAGATATTTAAACTGTTACATTAGAAGGAATGTTTCTTAAATCTTTCTATCAAGCTTTAATGGAAATAAAATGAGCTTTAGATAAAAACCATTAGTGATTATGAAACGTTTTATTCACAGAACAATCTTAGGGTCTTAAAGGTACAGTGGAGGAGGTTCTTTTTCTGGGTGGATCATCAGAATAAGTGGTCCTCATAATTGTCAATCATTCTGGTGAAATGTTTATGTAGGGCCCTCCTACGTGCTCGTCACCATTTTCACTTAACGGTGTTGGTACAGTGGAAAAAATGCAAATCTCCTTTTGGAAAGTAAGCCTGTATGAGCGACGCAAACAACAACTTTTAAGCAGAGTGTAAACAAGGAGAAATTAATTCAGTTTATTTCTATAGCTCCAATTCACAACACAAGTCATCTTAAGGCACTTTCCAGTTCACCAGATCATCCAGTCAAATTGATTCAAACTTTTCTATCTAAGGAAAACCAGTTGATTGCATCCACTTATTGACTCTTCAGCAATCCCTCACACTAAGCATGCTTGTAGCGACAGTGGAGAGGAAAAACTCCCTTTGAACAGGAAGAAACCTCCAGCAGAACCAGGCTCAGTGTGAGCGGCCATCTGCTGAGGCCCACTGGGAAATGGGCTCTTGCACGCGTTTAATAGGCGTTCCCTCTGGGGAGTGGCTACAGGCCTTAGTCCTGGACTTGGCCAACCCGGGTTCGAATCCGGCCTGTGGTCCTTTGCCGCGTGTCTCTCCCCCTCTTTCCTGCCCCATTTCCTGTCAGCCCACTGTGGAAAACACATCCCAAATAAAAAAAGCGGAGAGGGTGGTCTTCTCAAAAATTCACGAAAATTCTCAATTATACCTTTAATGTTTCCAAGTGTAACAACAAAACCAGCTTTAAGTTTTATTCTTGATATTTTTAATCATAAGATTCCATAAAATGATTTTCCGACTAAATGAGCTCAAGACTCATGTGGAGATGTTGGAATTAAGAAACCTATCAGGATAAAAATCATAGGTAGGATTTATCTCAACATAAAAAGAGGATCAAAAAATCAACATCTTTATTATAAAGAAATTATTTTCTTTCAACTTTTCATCAAGATAAAGAAATGTTTAACCATGTTGGAAGATGTAAACATCTTGGTTGAACAGTTCTGGTGACTCTGGATATGTCAAGATGCTGAAACTTGTTTGGATTTATTTATGTCTCTAAACTGTATAATATCTTCTGTGACTAAACGAGATGAAGATGTGGTTGTTTTGATCCGCTTTGACCTCCTGGTTGTCATCATTTGCAGGATAGCCCGTTTTTCCAGCGTCCATCACCTCTCCATCCACATCTCTAAGAACTTCGGGGACGAGAACACTCGGGTGTACTACATCGGCCTCAGAGGGGAATATTCAGAGGTTTGAAAGCTGTTTTTGATTTTCCCCATCATCTGATCTGATCCGCTTTTCTTGGTCCCGTCACGCTGAAGTTCTGCTCTGTTCCCTGTCAGGCCCACAGACATGAAGTGACCATCTGTAACTACGAGGCAGCGGCGAACCCGGCGGATCACAAAGTGGACAGCATCATTCCACAAACCAACTTCATCTCCTGAGGGCTGGAGGAAGAGGAGGATTAGAGATTTTAGAGGCGTTCACTGAATGTCTAAAAGTCAGAGAGTTCGGCGCTGAATGAGGCAGCGAGGACGAGTTTGAGTGGGAGCGTGTGCTGAAATCTGGGAAAAAAGTGGCATATTTCAGTTGTTTCCGTGGCAACGTGGCGCAAAGGCTCAATAAAACTGGCAAAGATGCATGAATTTTTTTTTTTTCTGTCACTGATGAATTTTGCTATTGAAGTACAGAAAGGCAGGAAAGGGTTGCTTTGCTGTTACATAAACATCCCGGTTGCCATGCCAAAAGTCCAGAGTCATGATGGGCTCCATACTGTCACCTTTTCCTGTTTAACTCGTGAACAACTTTGCCCCAATCTCTATTTTTTTTCTCACATGAAGTTGATGCTAAAACAGAAATCTGAAACTATCCTCGATGCTTAAACTTTTTTTCCCATCATTTCTGCTGCTTAAAAAAAGAAATAAACATTTTCAAGTTAAACTGACTTTTCTGAGATTTTTTTAGCAGCATCTGCTGCCCTTTGCTGGACAGTAGTAGATATGAGGTGTGTGATGCTGCGTAAAAAACATAAATATCAATACAAATAAAATCTAAGCTTTATACGGAAGAGGATTAGGGCCACTGAAAAGAAAAGTTTACTTGTTTTTTTTTTATTTTATTTCAGTATAGTATGGGGAAAAAAGTCAGAATTCTGACTTTAATCTCAGAATTTTTTGGTATCTCTTTTCTCACATCTTTTTAACATTTCAACACGTGTTAATAAACGTGAGGACTTTCTTATTCTGGTCAGACATCTTCTTTAGATAAGGATTTATTTCAGATAATTCATATTCAGGTATGTTTGTTATGTAGAGGAAAATAAATGTGCTGACTTTATTTTTAAAATGTATAAAAACCTTCTGATAAGAACGTGATTTTAGTTTCCTTTATTTTATGGAACAACAACCGAATCCACTTATTTGTTTTAAATATTTTGTTACCAATTTATTTTCAAAGGTAGCAGAATGGAAATTTTGCAGGTGGAATTCAGATTAAAAAACAAAGCTGTTTTTAGAAATATCAAATTGAATTTATTTATAGGCTCATTTAAAACAGTTAAGCATAATTCTTTCGGTATTTCTTTTCTGACACTTTTTTGACATTTCAACATGTACTTATAAACATTAGGACTTACTTATTGTGGTCAGACATCATCTTTAGATGAGGTTTTATTTCAGATGTTTTTCTATTTTATATTCACTGCCGCACTTGAAAAATAAAAATGTCTTCACAGCTGTACTGAACAAAATTTATTTTTGTATACACTGTTTACAAAATGACGATAAAACCTAAGTCTAATATTCAGATATGTATGGAAGAGGATTAGGGCCACTGGAAAAAAAAATTTGATTTTTAAATTTTATTTCAGTTTAGTATGGGGAAAAAAGTCAGAGTTCTGACTTTAATCTCAGATTAAAGTCAGAATTCTGAGATTAAAGTCAGAATTCTGAGATTAAAGTCAGAATTCTGAGATTAAAGTCAGATCTTTTTTCCCATACTAAACTGAAATAAAATTTTAAAATCAGTTACCTTTTTTTTTCTCCCAGTGGCCATAATCCTCTTCCATAGATATGCTTGTTATATAGAGGAAAATAAATGTGCTGAATTTATTTTCCTTTATTTTATAGAACATCAACTGAATCCTCTTATTTGTGTTAATTATTTTTTTAACAATTTATTTTCAAAGGTAAAGAGAGGAGGAGAAAACCAAACTTTTTTTTTTTCTTTTTTTATTAAACTTTATTGAACAAATGTACAAAACAAACAGGTTTTGTATTAAGGGACAGCACATCAGAGGGGGAGATATAAATACTTGCACAAGAGTTACACAATAATTGAACTAGACAAGAAAAAAAAACATTAAAAGGAAAAATAATTTGAAACAGTCAATAAAGTCAATAAAATACAAATGACAAGTGTTAAAAAGGTTTCAGGGAAGTATTTTCTATAGTTATCAAGAAACATGTTCTTTTTATTTTTAATCAGTTTGAGGGATGCAATCAGAGAGTTCAACTCTAAGAGAAAGTGAGTAATGTTAGGAATCGAGTTTGCACATTTTTGTTTGTGAATGAAAATTTTTGCTTATATGATAATAAAATTAAGCATATGTTCAAAGTCACGATGTTCAGAGTTATTGTAATAGCAGATAACATCTTTGAGAGTTAGTGTGCATAAAATTTTAGTTGAATGGAAAAAAAAAGATTCAATGTCACTCCAAAATTTTTGGGATTCATCACAACTAAAAAATAAATGCAAAGTCGTTTCTGAAGTTCTTTTACAAAACGTACATGAGTCACTTATGTCCATAAGATTTTAAAATGTATTTCTTTGGCTTTGTTAGAAATACAGTATTTATGAGGTAAGAGCCAGGCTCTTCTCCAGCTTATGCTATCAATATGGGTACGCCAATAAAATTTACCTCTAGGTGTGATAAAGTTTTTTCTTTGAAAGCACTGGCGTATGTGTCTATTGTTACATCTTCTGTCTGTTAGGTTAATTCCTTCCAATATAAGAGTGGGTAGAGTTTTCGTAAATTTACAGTAACTCAAGTGACTTTTTACAAGTTGAATTATCTTTTTAGGGATAGCATTAATTATCTTGTTAAATTCTCTGAAGGAAACAGGAAAACTATAGAAGGACATGAAGCACTCATAAGAAAACATATTGCTAGTACTGTCAAAGAGATTGAGGATGTGATTGATGTCTCTTTTAAACCAATTTATGAAGAATAAGGACTTGTTTCTAATCAAAGAAAACCAAAAAAATCATGGTCGTGGTTTGTAGTGATGACGTCGATCATTTGACCCCGCCCTCCGTGTGAGTGCGCAGAGTACCGGAAGTTCCGCCTCATCGTGAACTGGGACAGCAAGCGGTGAGTGTGTGATTCTGTGCGCGCTAGCGGGCCGCGGATGTGTTTTTAAAGCTTTCCTATGGTCCGAACCGAGCCTTAGAGGGAGGTGTTATTGTTAAAGGGTTATTCCAGGAGATGCTGATGTAGGGGGGTCCTAATGGAGCCTGGCTGCGGTCCTGAGGGAGCTGGAAGGAGGCAGCGGCGGAGGACAATACACTCAGTGTGTGTGTGTTAGCCGCGGCTCTTCCTCCAGCTAACCCGGCGGAGCAGAGTGTGTGTGCCGCAGATAAAGCGGGATTAAAGCCCGCGGGGAGGGCTGGGTGTCACTCTGGAGCGGCTTCTGGGGGTCAGTCTGGGTTTTGTGTTTCAGCTCCGCCGTGTTTTTAAGCTGAGCTGCGGCCATTCATTGTCTGGCTGCTTCGTCGACAGCCGTTTCCTCATTCGATGCTAACTCATTCAAATCAGATGAAAATCACCTTTAACTCGCTGCTGGGACGGAGCCGGAGCCCCGGGCGGCAGCTGGGAGGCAGGGAGGGGGGAATGTAGGGTGTCTGTGCCGCATATCGATGATCCTGCTGCTGCTGCTGTCCTCCAGCTGATCTGGGATCTGCAGCAAACCTCTGCTGTGGGATCTGATGGATGTAATTGAAGTCATACAGGAAGGAGACTCGTGGTTTTTCTCTCCTCTGCTGCTTTTATTGCTTTAAATCAGACCAGTGACAATAATGAACACATTTAAATTCAGATTTTCTCTCTTATCTGTTGGAGGAAAAATGAGAAAAGTATAAAATAACAAACATGATTGACACTGTTCTGGGTCCCTGAGAAAGACCCTTAACCCCACATTGCTCCCCTGGAGCCGCACCATGGCAGCCCACTGGGTTATGGCTTATATGCAGAGTGAAAATTGTTCCACTTGTGACGGTGTAAAACAACACTGGTGTAGATTTTATCTAATTTCTTATAATGACCTTGATCAGGCTGTGAAGTTCTGCTTTCATATTCATTTTACTGCCAACTGTTTGGTGTTGATTGGTTGCCATGTTTGACATTTTCCTTCCTTAAAATGTTTGAGCAAACCCAGCTCACATTTTTTTCAAATAGAAGTAAAATACACTAAATAAAAAGGCTTTGCTTCAGGCTCAAGAGCTAAATCTCTACTTCCGATGAGGAAACAACTTTAGATCTTTATGATATCAGAAGAAACATGTTATGATATTGATGCTGAGGGTTACCATGACTATATTGTTTATAATAAACCCAGTTTTTCCACTCTTATGGTTCCCTTCTTCTCCCCTTCATTTTATCTGTCAAAGTCAGATCAAATCTGTTAAATGAGCCAAAGATATTTTGCTCAAAGTGGATATTTTTTATGTTATATTGTTAGCTTTAGATTCAGACTGCTCTGAATTAGCTGCAGCAGAGCAACAAGATCTTGTGAGGTTTTGTAGAGCGATAGCTTTAGAAATGCCAATATATTGTCTTAGTTAGCATATCGGAGTAGATTTTATCGTGAGTGACGTGTATTTTGATTCGTATCACATCGCCAAATTCTTGCCGTTCAAACTAATTTCCTCAGCCCTGCCCAAAGTCGGTCCTTGAGGGCCGCCGTCCTGCAGGTTTGAGAGGTTTCTCTGCTTTAGCACAGCTGATTCTGATAATTAGAGTTTAGCAAAAGCCTGTTAATTAGCTATCACTGAAAATGTGCTGAAGCAGGGAAACCTATAAAACCTGCAGGACAGCGGCCCTCAAGGACCGGTTTGGGGTATACCTGGTCTAAATGTTCTGCTCCCTTTCCTTATGTTCTTCTTTCGTTGCAGTTTTCCTTCTTCCCTTGGTTTCTCTCCTTGTTTCCTCCTACTTCCTTCCTTTTCAAATTTTTTTCATTTAATACTTTCTCTTTTCCTTGTTTCCTTTCCTGCCTCCCTCTCTCATTCTTTCCCTTCCTCCATCCGTCTTTCTGTGTTTTCATCCTTCTGTCTTTTTTGTCTTTCTTCCTCTCAGCTTTAGCTATTAGTTTATCTAATAATTAAAGGTAATGTGGAGGATTTTTTATAAGACCTGCCCTCTCCTCTTTAAAAAAATGCGCGTGCGAGAGCGTGCACGAGCCCATTTCTCCTCGTGCACACCCTGTTTAAAATATGATGTTCTCATAGCTCATACAAGCTTACTGTTTCCACATACAGCAGGGACTATATAGTGAACTTTATAGTGAACTCAGTCACTATAATGGATATATGGATTACGGACAAATGGATTGACGTATGAATGAATGAAGGACGGATGGATGATGGATCGATGGATGATCCGACTGTTTGGACAGATGATCACTGCTTTTTGCTCTGTTGGTCACGTAACCCCTCAAGGTGCGTGCGCCATCTTAGTTATTAGTGATCATCATCTTTGTTATAATTTGCTATAAGGGGAGTGGTGGTCTAATGGTTATAGCAGTGCGCTTGTGCTCTGAGAGGTTGCAAGTACCCGGTTCGACCCTTAACCCCACACTACTCTCTGGGCACCGCATGATGGCAGCCCACTGCTCCCCAAGAGGATTGGTTAAATGCAAAGATAAATTTCTCCAGTGTGAGATCAATAAAGTTCAATTATTATTATTACTATTAGTCGCCGCTGTCGGGTAACAACAGTCTACACTGCAAAAACAATCTAGAAATAAGTAAAATTTTCTTAAATTAAGTGTATTTACCCTTAATTTCAGTAGGTAAACAAGATGATCTGTCAATGGAATGAGTGTTTTTACTCTTAAAATAAGATAATTAGATAATATGCATTTGAAATAAGACAATGCAAATGTTTTTTTTTTTATTTTAAATGCAAATTGTCTTGTTCCATTGGCAAAATGTCTCACTTACCTCCTCAATTCAAGACAAAATGCACCTTTTTTAAGAAAAAATTACTTATTAAGATTCAATTTTTTGCAGCGTATGGCGACAGCGGGCCGCTGTGACAGCGAATCCTTTAATGCTATGCGAGGAGTTCTGCGCAAAGCATTCTGGGATATATCTGCCTCTTCTGCGCTGGAAAAAATGTAAATCTAGATAACTTCTTTTTTCTTAAAGTAAGTGCATTTATACTTGGATTGAGGAGGTAAAAGAGACATTTTGCCACTGGAACAAGGCAGTTTACATTTAAAATAAGAAAATACAATTGCTTTGTCTTATTTCAAGTGAATATTATCCAATTATCTTATTAGAGTTATTAGAGTAAACATGCTCATTCCATTGGCAAACTATCTCATTTACCTACTCAAATTAAGGAAAAAAGCACTTAATTTAAGACATTTTTTTACTTATTTCTAGATCGTTTTTCCAGTGTGAGGCCTTTTTTTTACTTCGTAGAAACTTTTTCTCTTCCGACAGTCGGTCATTTTCAAAGAACCGTGGGGAGAAAGGTGAACTTCAATGACTGTCTGAAACAGTAGCTCACCGCAGATAGACGCCTAATGGCATATTTGTAGAAAAAGATGGCTGACAGGACGAGCACGTAGGACGGCCTTACGTAAACACATCACCAGAATGATTGACAATTAGGAGGACCACTTATTGAGATGATCCACATGGAAATAAAAGATCGTCCTTTATACCTTTAAAGCCTGGGCTCTGTAGACCTATACGTCCACATATAGTTTTAAACAAATAGAAATGATGGAGGACTCCGGAAAAACCTGGGATTTTTGTATTAAGATGTTTAAGAACCAATTTGCAATTCCTTTTTTTATCAGCTTATGGTGCTGAAATGACAGATTGTTCTTTCTAAAGAAGGAGAAAAAAGACAAATCACTGAGCTGATTTGGTTACAGAGAACCTAAAGGGAACCTGAGACCTACAGAAAAGCTATTGATGAGATCTGCTTTAAAATATTTCCAGACACTGTGGATCTGATTAGGAGTAAAGGACAAGCAGATGACCCAGACTAATTCCGTTTAGATTACTAACTGTTCTCTCTCATCACACAATGGAGGAAAACATTGCCTGAGCCAACCTACTCTCTTTTGTCCTCATTGCAATTAAAAAAATACACTGATTTACAGCTTAAAGAGATAAAAGATTAATCATTTAATTGTTCTGACATGCAAATGAAATTTCAAAAAATGCAGATTTTAATGGATTTTTCTATCTTTACCTCTGATCCTCTAAAAAAGCATTGAATTTGTGCTGAAAGGAAACTGATGGTTGAAGCTTTTTTTCATAGATAAATGCATTTTTTTCTGTCCTTTAAGTTTTTGCTGAATTTTCAATTAAGTTAAGATGTTTAAAAAGCTGACTGATAAATTCATGTTTTTGCTGCAGAAGCTGAAAAATAATTTAATCAGGACTCCTTTAGCATAAGAGAATAAGATGAACCAATACAGGGTTTTTAAAGCTGAGGTTGATTATTTACACATTGATTCCAGGTTGATTTTAACTGATTTTTGAAGCCAAAATTCTTTTTCTTTCTCAATTTACAAAAAAGAAACTTTTATTTACAAATCAAACTAGATATTATCAGCGGATAGCAAGTTGAGAAAGCAGCAAAGTCTGCGCTTCGAGCGATATCTTGGCATGGTTGCTGAACGCACTAATGAGAGAGATGCAAATTATCGGCCGATCCAAGAAAAAAAACGCCAATATCTGTGCGAAATATCGGCCAGCCGACATATTGCTCTGTCCACTGATCTCTATTTATTCACTGGATTGCTGATTGCCCGTTGGTAGTACGGGATAGAAGTAAAACCACTGACCGCCATATTGGTACTCCCTAGTTAGACCGGTCCAAATGTAAACAATATGTGTGCAAAAGCATCGAACAACAATGATGTTCTCAATTTTCAGGGGGACCTAAGACTTTTAAAATAAAAATAATTTCATCACTTTGCTCTTTCATAGCATCAGTTGATTACTTTAACTTATAATAAAAAAAATAGGCACATCACATTCCATAGTCATTATGAAGTCAATGAAGTCTATAAATCATGTAAATATAACATATTATACAAATCCATTACAATATGGATATTATACATATCCATTACAATAAAATGAATGTGTTAATGGAGCAGAATAGTACATGAGCCAAAAGTGCTAAACTGATGATGTACATGTAAGATACATGTATTCATGACATTGTTATGGTAATTACATCTTACTTGTCTGTCTGTCTGTCTGTCTGTCTGTCTGTCTGTCTGTCTGTCTGTCTGTCTATCTATCTATCTATCTATCTCTCTATCTCTCTATCTCTCTATCTCTCTCTCTCTCTCTCTCTCTCTCTCTCTCTCTCTCTCTCTCTCTCTCTCTCTCTCTCTCTCTCTCTCTCTCTCTCTCTCTCTCTCTCTCTCTCTATATATATATATATATATATATATATATATATATATATATATATATATATATATATATATATATATATATATATATATATATATATATATATATATAGTTCACTAAATCCATGGTTCGGTTCACGGTTTCATGGTCACGGTTTTCGGTTCGATTCGGTATATGTTGATTGTTTCCCCAAAATCCCATAAAAATTTTACGAAATTAATGAAAAAATCCCAAAAAATTAATGAATTGTAATTATTTTTAATGATTCGCGGAAACCCTGGATCATTTCCACATGTTTTGCTGCTTTGAATTCAATCATCTGGTGCATGCTCTCTACCATCTCCAAGGGACCCAGAGCGGAGCGGACGGGAGCCACAGTGGAGGCTGTAGGCTTTGCTTTGAGCAGCCGGTCTGGAGCGCAGCGGGGCGGAGCGCTGACGGAGTATGTGGGATTTCGGGGTTAGCATGACATGTTGGTCATGTTGCTGTTAGCATAAACAAAACCTGTTGCACAATGCTTGCACACTGTTGCACTTTTATCCACACCTTTCTTCCCGCCATCATCGTATGTCACTCTAAATGCAAAGTGGTCCCATACAGCAGACCTATAAAGTGCTGCTGGCGCGTCTTCCAACTCCTGTTCTTTCCCACTCGCCATACCCACACAATTCTCCACAACAACTGATTTTTTTCTGCTACACCCGGCTACACTGCTTCGCTTCTTCTTCTTCTTGTTTACTACTGGTGGTTGGCTTTGGTTGCAGTACCGCCACCTTCTGCTCTGGAGTGTAAATGCTTCGCCTATGAGAGAAAGGAGCAGCGCATGAACCGAACGCAACACACGCGAACCGAACCGAGACAGTCGAACCGATATATATATACCATATAAAGGGGGTAATAACATGCAATATATTTCAGCTCATGACTTTTTTAGTTCAGAAATACAACAAACACTACAAAAACGACAGCATCGTCCTTTTGATAAAGAATTACTACATTTACATTTCACAGGCAATTACTTTCTATCTACTCTACTCTATTGTCTAACGTTAGACACCATGTCGACGTCTAACTCAGTCAGTATCGGTTTGAGTCAGTCCAAGATGGTCAGACTAATGTTACGCTACATACTATACTATGGGATACATCAGCGTATATATTGATTTTCTTGGTTAGTTCATCCGCTGACTGGAAAATTACCTGTGGAACGTCTTCCTATAGCTGGCAAACTGCTTGTTTTTGCAGCCGGCTGATGGTTTCACTTTTTCTGGACAATCAGCAATCCAGTGAATAAATAGAGATCAGTGGGTCTATCTCCCATTAAAATTAAGACATTAATGCTTCAGGAAATGCTCGTTCCATCAGGCCAAAGGGGAACACCAAAGGATTTTTATAAATAATATAGAAACAGATGTGGAATATTTTCTCCTTCCAGTGAAAGGCCAATAAAATAAAAAATTTCATATCGACCTGATCCTAGGTTGAAACTGCAATCTTTATTATAATCTTTATAAGCACTTTATTACAGGAGCTTAGAGAAGATTAGCGCAAACAGAAAGTCCTGCAGATCCGATGGGTTTGTGTCTGAATCCCAGCAGATGCTGCTGCGCATAGAGACTATTTTTAACCGGCAGCCTCCTCCAGAAGCTCAGAGAGCTAAGCCATTGTTTCTTGGAAAATCCCACGCAGTGATGATGGACGCCGCTTCTTCTGGACATGATGAATCTGCTGAACAGGAGCATATCACGCTGAACCTGCTCATTCCTTACTTCTACCTCATCTTTCTAATCCTCCTTCACTCTCTTCATCCCAGAACCCTGCCTTTAATTAAGAGCGGTGGAACTTCAGAGCTTCTGCCCTTTTCTGACTGAAGCTAAATGCATTTGAAAAAAACAGCGGAAGATGAGGAAGTGCTTAAGTTTCATCATGTTATTGTGTAATATGGGAATAAACCACAGTTTTTAATACTGGTCGGGCTTTACTAACATGACTGACACGCTAAAAGAAATGTCTTACATCGGCTGATACCGACGTCAATGATGAAACGTCAGACTTCCCTCATTTAAACACCTAGAGAGACATTATGGGCTTTACTTACCTTCAGCCCGAACTTCTCTCTCAATCTGCAGGTTTACTAGTGGTTACTAGAATTTCTAAAAGTAGAATGGGAGGCAGATCTTTTAGTTATCAGGCTCCTCTCCTGTGGAACCAACTACCAGTTTTAGTCCGTGAGGCAGACACCCTGTCTACTTTTAAGGCTAGGCTTAAAACTTTCCTTTTTGATAAAGCTTCTAGTTAGAGTGGCTCAGGTTATCCTGAGCTATCTCTATAGTTCTGCTGCTATAGGCTTAGACTGCTGGAGGACACAGGGACCCCTTTTTCATCATTCTGCTTCATTCTATCTCTATTCTCCCACTCTGCAGAATCTATTAGTTCAATCTCTAACGTTCTGCTCTCTCTGCTTTTTCTCATAGTAGCTTCATCTGGTCTGTTCCTGTTTGGCTGTGACTCCATCCTGGAGAGAAATATCAGCTGTGCTGCTGCCATCAAACCTTTGTTTATAGATGCTGGAGATCGGCCTGTTTTTCAGTGTAGTCCTGTTTCTCTGACCGAGATTAGCTGGATGTGCTCTCTTCATCCTGTGACATGGGAGCTGGCTCGGAGCTCGCCTGCCTGGCTGTGTGTTTCCTGGACTGGGCTGCCTCTTACAGTTGCCTTTTGTATCTATGCTTCTTTTTCTATGTCTGCTTCTGTCTCCTTGAACCCCAGTCGGCCTCAGCAGATGGCCGCTCACACTGAGCCTGGTTCTGCTGGAGGTTTCTCCCTGTTCAAAGGGAGTTTTTCCTCTCCACGGACTCGCTACAAGCATGCTTAGTGTGAGGGATTGCTGAAGAGTCAATGAGTCGATGAAATCAACTGGTTTTCCTTAGAAAACTTTTAATCAATTTGACTGGATGATCTGGTGAACTGGAAAGTGAATTGAGATGACATGTTGTGAATTGGAGCTTTAGAAATAAACTGAATTGAAATCAGAAGCCAGTTTTTCTTACACTGAAATGATAGAGGATCTTTTTGAAAGGTCCCTCCAAAAGAGAACTTCGACCATATCATGACGCTGCCACCTCCATGCATTGAGTCTGGGAACCAACCTCTGAGAACTTAGGTTAAGTTGGTGATAAATTTTCATCTGAAATCTAGGAAGGTTTGCGGAGGAAAGGAGGCCAGATGAGCACTTTGGAGGAGAGTGCAAATGATTGCAAATGATTTCATTGCTTTTGTTTGGGATAGATTAGACAGACAGATGATTGAGGGATTAAATGTGACAGGAAGGTTGAGTGTTTTCACCGTAGCTGAAAAGATGCCAGCAGGAGAACAACAGACAGATAATATAGATCTTTATTGGTTACCATCTTAGGTCTCGAGTTAAATATTAAACAAAACAACATTCCAGCTGCAAAGAACATATAAGAGAATGTTTTTTGTGACCCCAGTTTTTCCTGTTTTCTGCTCCATGCGTTACTCATTTATCCTGGTCCAGCCAGTCACATGTTTCCAGTCTGCACACTCAGGATATAATAAGTTTTCAGGTAAAACATTTTCCATCATGGCAGCCGTGGAATTTGGGACATTCTCGCGTCTCCTCATTGTCTGTTTACCGACCAGGCAGCCCGTCTTCCTTCCTTCCTTCCTGTCCAGCATCATCCCAAAGCTTTTACTGTAGTCTATCCTGATCTCTCAGGCTTCCTCGCATCGTTGCGATCGATTTAATGAGTGAAGCAGACGGCGGCGGCGGCGGTGGTGGGGGGGTTCATTTAGTTAATGTGTCCAAACCTGCCTGCTGTCAGCAGAAAGCTGCAGATGTGAAGCTGTTACTCACATCCTGGCTGCTTTGTGTGGTTCTAGTCTCTAGTTTGATATTTCTGGGTCTGAAGATGCTCTGGAATGAAATGTTGATTAATGGAGGCGATAAGAGGAGCTGGCTGAAATGATTCTTCGTTTACTGACCCTCAGAATCGGTTCCTGTATGTTTAAAGTTTTTTTTTTAGATGGG